TTGTCACTTCCTCAAAAAATTCAAATCAAGTTTGAGAGACACAACCTTCCCTGCACAAAGCTACGCTGGCTGTGATTAATAAGTCCATATTTTCCAAATCAGAATTAAGCCCTATCCCTCAGAGTCTTCTCTGGTAATTTCCCTTCCACTGACGTAAGGCTCACCAGCCTGTAACTTCCCAGTTGCCCTTCTTAAACAAAGGAACATCAGCTCTTCTCCAATCCTCTGGGACCTCTGTTGTGACTAAAGAGGATACAAAGATTTAGTACAAGGCCCCAGCAATTTCCTCACCTGCCTCCTTCAGCATTCTGGGATGTTTCCCATCAGGTCCGGGGGACTTACCTACTTTAGAGCTTTTCAAAACACCGAACACTTTTTTATATTGACACGGCCTAGAATATCAGCATACCTCTTCCAAGACTCATCACCCACCATGTCCTTCTCCTTTGTGAATACCCATGTAATTATTCATTGAGGACCTCCCCCACTTCCTCTGGCTCCACGCATAAATTCCCCTTGTCCTTGAGTGGACTATCCTTTCCCTTGCTGCCCTCTTGCTCTTTGTACGTATGTAAAACACCTTGGGATTTTCCTTAATCCTGTTTGCCAAAGACCTTTCATGGCTCATTTTAGTCCTTTTGATTTCTTTTTTGTGGTCTTTCTTGTTATCTTTCTATTTTTTGAGGGCTCCATCTGTCTTCAGTGTCCTAAGCCTTACATATGCCTCCTTTTCCTTTTTGAATAAGGTCTCAATTTCTCTTGTCATCCAAGGTTCATGAATTCTACCATCCTTATGCTTCACTTTCACAGCAACATGCTGGTCCTGAACTCTAATCAACTTGCCTTTAAAAGATTCCCACATGCCAGATGTGATTTACCCTCAGTCGCCTCTCATCTACATTCCCCAGTTCCTGCCTAATATTTTAGTATCTAGACTTCCTCCAATTTAGTACTTTCACCAAGGAGGACTCTTATCCATAAATAACTTAAAATTTACAGAATTGTAGTCACTGTTGCTGAAGTGTTTCCCCCCTGAAACTTAGTCTTACTTGCGTTAGTCTGACTCCTCCTCAGTTATGTTACTCCCTGGCCTACTGGTCTGGCTCCTGTGCCTCATCTCACCAGTTTAAACTGTTGAGTGACAGTAGCAAACCTCCCTGCCAGGATATTGGTGCCCCTCCAGTTTAGGCGTAACCCTGTCCTCCTTGTACTGGTCCCACCTGCCCTGGAAAACATCCCAAAGATCCATATATCTGAAACTCTCCCTCCTACACCAGCTCTCTAGTCATATATTTAACAGTACTATCTTCCTATTCCTAGCCTCACTGGCATGTGGCACAAGGAGTAATCCAGAGATGACAAATTTAGAGGCTCTGCTTTTCAACTACCTATCTAACTCCCTTTGCAGGACCTCATAACTCTTTCTGCCTGTGTCATTGGTACCAATATGGACCACAATCTTTGGCTGCTCAACTACTCCCTTCGGAATATCCCGTCCCTGCTCACAGGCATCCTTGAACCTGGCACCAGGGAATCTCACTTGCAGTCACCGAAGCATCTACCTGACTCCTGGAATCCATTATTACTATTGCTTGCCAACACTTTGACCCTCCCTGTTACACAATGGTGCCAGTAATGGTGTCACTGATGTGGCTGTTGCTGCTTTCTCCTGAGAAGCCACCACCTCCCCCAACAGTATTCAAAACAGTTTCCCTCTTTGGGAAGGGAATGGAACAGGGGGACTCCTGCACTGCCTGCTGCGCTTACTTTTCTTCTTAGTGGTCACCCAACTCTTCTGCTTGTGCAGCCCTTACTGATGGTCTGACCAGCTGGCTAAATGTGCTACCCAAGACCTTCTCAGCCTCATGGATGCTTCATAGCGAGTCCATTCACAGCTCCACGTGCTCCACGCAGCTAATCAGGTGCTGCAGCTGAACATACTTCCTGTACATGGTCGCCACCTACATATCGCAGGAGCAGCATTCAAGGGGGCCAAGTTCACCTGCCATTTCAAACCTCATCAACTATACACAATAATCCAGGAACTGATTACATAACCTCATCCACATACAAACTTGGGTAACTCACTCCTGGTCTCTATTCCTACAACCACAAAAAGTACGTACTTATACCTCTCTCCAGACACCACTCGCTCAATCTGTAAAACTGGTTTCTGAGCAGCCAAGCCAAGGAGATGCAAAGAGATGCAGCGAAAAGAGAATAAGCTACCATTAAAGGGGATCAAGTCTCTGTAGCCAAGTAAATTGTAAAAAAGTAGAGCGGGGAGAAGATGCCTACTGGGGGCCAAAGAAGAGACCGTTGCATCGAAGCAGAGGGCATTGACTATTTTGTACTTACTTTCTCCAAGGAAAGGAATGCTGCCAAAGCAAAGCAGAACAGGCAGTGACTAATTAAGGAAAGCCAGATTTGTTAAATGTGAATTATGATTAACTAACTTGACTGGGCTTTTTCAATTAAGTAACAGACTTGATCAATACAGTTGATATAGTTTATATAGACTTCCAAAAGAATTTGATAAAATGCCTCTCAACAGACTTAGCCAGCAAAGTTGAAGCCCTTCGAATAAAGGAGATGGTTACAGCATGGATAGAAAAATGGATGGCTGACAGGAAGCACGGTTGCAGTGAACGGTTATTTTACATATTGGAAAATGGTATATACCAGGTCTCCTGGATCTCATTCTAGGTACAAAATGACATCTATCTCACCAATCTGAACGATCACAAAGGTAAATATCTGAGGTGAAACCATGCAATGTTAAGATTACCTGATCCCCGTGGAAGGAATTTTAATTTTTCTATATTAAAGCTTGGAATATTCAGCTTTAAATTCTAGGCTTGATTGTTTCTGCAGTAGTTTTTCTGGCCTGTATCAGAGGCTGGGTATTCTGCAGTAACTCACGCCCTGAATCGCGAATGCACATCCAAAAGGCATAAGTCAGGAGCGTGATGGAATATTTTCCATTTGCTTGGATGAGTACAGCAGCAATAGCATTCAAAGTTTGATAAAGCATCAGGTTTCAGTGATACTCCATAACATTAATTTCCTCCAGCGCTGACACAATAACAGCAGCATGTACCATTTTACAAAATGCACTGCAGCAACTCTCCGTGGCTCCTTTGGCAGCACCTTTCACATTATGTTGCTTAACATTTTTCTTGCATGGCAGCAACTTCTGGAACTGGGAAGTCAATATGTCCACACACTAATCAGGCATTAGTGGGAATGCTTAGAGGGAATACTGCTTTCAAACCCACAATCTCCACTACCTAGATGGGGGCAGTGGACATGGTACAACACCATCACCAGCCAGTTCCCCTCCAAGCCACACATCATCCTGACAACTCAGAACGGTATCATCTTGCCTTCAATGTAACTGAGTCAAAACACTGGAATTCCCACACTAATAGCACTGAGGTGTCCCTACACCACAGGGGACAGTCTTCTCAAGAATAGTTAGGCGTGGATAATAAATGCTGGCTAGGCCAGCATTTCATGAATGCACGAAAATTTGCAAGATGGAATCCTTCAAACCAGTTGAATTGGCTTCCTGGTCCTGGTCAGCAACCAATAGTTAAGATTTTAATAGAATCTAGAGAGCATAATTTTGGTAACCTTTGTTGAATGAAAGCTGAAATACTCTATTCCAAAGCATTACAAATAGTGAACTTTTAATTTTTGTACAATTAATTGTCCAATTTGAGCGATTCACAATATATTTGAAATGAAAAATATAAATTATAACAAAGCATTCATTCTCACTCAGTTTAAAATGTTGAAGCTAGGGTTAATTATATACATATATACACACACCCACCCAAATATCAATCTGAATTGAAACCTACAATGACTAGGGTCAAGGAAGAGACACATTTTGTTGTCTAATTCTTTTTTTCTCCCCCCAAGATAAAATAACATGAAATCTAGAAAATTAAAGCAATAAACACAAACTTTAAGGGCATTTTTAATTAAAATTTTTGCAAAGGCAAAATACTTTTAAGTAACTTAAAATAAATCTTAGTACAACAAAATACTAAGTTCTCTAATGGTCTTACAAGCAGGGCCTTAAACGAAGATGACTATATTATTAAGAACCTTGATTTAAATGGTACAAGATGAATTATACAAACATAATAAATAGATTTCCCTCTTACACGTATGTACAACACCAGGTGACTAAGTAGCTGTGGGTAGTAGAAAAAAGATCAGCTAATGAAAATTGTGGTTCTTTGTCAAATAGCCATGCGGCTTTTGTTTTTAATTTTAAAAAAGCAAAATGTGTGAATGGCTGGTTTCTTACTTCTTTTTCTTTTAAAGGCGCTCAATTTATTTTCCTCAAGTTTCTCCACTCCATGTGCAAACTTTGCCATTTCTTTCCCCTCTTTACACTCAAGAATCATTTCAGTAATCGCATAATACTGTCTCTGTTGAAAGCACAGCTAAAAGTGATGTCTCTCTCATCATTTTAAAAAAGGCAAATCCCTCAACTTGTTCTATTAAATTCCAAAGTCTTTCAAGATTAGAAAACCATTACATGAAACCAATGGGGGTAGGAAAAGAAACGAAAACCCCAAAACAGGCATGATGATTTCTATTAAAACTTAACATAATGATCTGTTACAGTCATAAGTAAAAATAGTCAATTAAAATTAGACTTGCACTGATCTACAGTATAGTGCGATGTGCCACATAGGTGAAACAGAGAGAAAAAATTAAACTATGAAACATGCCTGCAAAAGGAACACTTGATAATAGCACTATATATAAGAGCACAGTTTGGTATGTTCAGCCTCTGGGATCTGGCTGATTTTTCAAAATTATCACAGGTATGGTGTGAAGACATTAGTTTTGAAGAGTCCGTCTCAACTATATTGCATACCGTAATAAAATCACAGCATAAAAAAGGTAAACGGAATACATGTCTAGGTTATCAAATCGTCTGCAATTCGAAGTCATCTATCAACTTTGTTTTTTTTTTATTTTAAAATATATCAGCCATTGTTACATCTTAAGAATGTGTTGGTCCTGGGTCAGGAAGTTATTCAATCACTACACAAATGTGAAGGGTCTTGAATTTACAAGGTCTTTCTTCCCCAGCTATAAACCTCCCCTATAAAAGAACCTTTTTTTAAAATGTTTATTTATTTCAGTTTCTACGCAGTTCAAATGACAGCACTTAGCACAAAGCACAGTGACTGGGTCCTCTAAACGCTTTCTCCTTAGAAGAGTCTTGGTTGATGTTTTGTAAACTCGCTAGCTCTGTAGATGGTAATTCATCAATCAGCAAGCAGTGACTGTATTATGGTATGACTGATAGTTAAGCATATTGTTTTCTTTTTCTCTCTAAAATGTGAGCCATTTCAGTGGTAAGGCTTTTCCCCACATAACGTAGTGTTGTACAACTCAGTAGCTTGGGTACCAGTAGTTCTGTATTCTTTTCACTTGCAGGCTTCGTAATTCAGTTCGTACTTCAAACATTAGTCCAGTCCGCTGAGCCTGTCCTTTCTCAAGAGAATCTGCATTCTTACCACTCTGCATCTCCGATGGCTTTGGAAAACACGTAATCTCTCCCATTCAGGTTCATGATCCCATCCTTTAGGTGGAACTTCCATTTATTCTTACTTCGGTGGATCTAAAGATACAACAAGAATCATTAAGGCAGATGAATAATGCGACAACGATAATATATATTGCTTTCTCCTTCCAAATGTCTTGCCTTTCAAAGATGCTGACTCCTGCTGGTATTGGGAGGTAACAGCACACTTACCTGCAGTTACATATATAAGAACATAAGAACTAGGAACAGGAGTAGGCCATCTGGCCCCTCGAGCCTGCCCCGCCATTTAATAAGGTCATGGCTGATCTTTTTGAGACTCAGCTCCACTTACCCGCCCACTCACCATAACCCTTAATTCCTTTACTGTTCAAAAATTTATCTAGCCTTGCCTTAAACACATTCAGCGAGGTAGCTTCAACTGCTTCACTGGAGGGAATTCCCCAGATTCACAACCCTTTGGGTGAAGAAGTTCCTCCTGACCTCAGTCCTACATCTGCTTCCCTTTATTTTAGGCGATGCCCTCTAGTCCTAGTTTCACCTGCTCACGGAAACAACCTCCCTGCCTCCACCTTATCTATTCTTTTCATAATCTTATATGTTTCTATAAGATCTCCCCTCATTCTTCTGAATTCCCCATGAGTATAATCCCAGTCTAATCAGTCTCTCTTCCTAATCCAACCCTCTCAACTCTGGAATCAACCGAGTGAATCTCCTCTGCACCCCCTCCAGTGCTAGTATATCCCTTCTCAAGTAAGGAGACCAAAACTGCACACAGTACTCCAGGTGTGGCCTCACCAGGACCCTGTACAGCTGCAGCATAGCCTCCCTGTTTTTAAACTCCATCCCTCTAGCAATGGCAGACAAAATTCCATTTGCCTTTTTAATCACCTGCTGCACCTGCAATCCCACCTTCAGCGATTCATGCACAAGGACACCCAAGTCCCTCTGCACAGCAGCGTGCTGCAATTTTTTACCATTTAAAACATAGTCCATTTGGCTGTTATTCCTACCAAAATGGACGACCTCACACTTATCAACATTGTACTCCATCTGCCAGACCTTTGCCCACTCACTTAGACTATCTATATCCCTCTGCAGACTTTCAGTGTCTTCTGCATACTTTGCTCTACCACTCACCTTAGTGTCATCTCCAAATTTTGACACACCACACTTAGTCCCCAACTCCAAATCATCTATGTAAATTGTAAATAATTGCGGTCCCAATGCTGATCCTTGAGCCACACCACTAGCCACTGACCGCCAACCAGAAAAACACCCATTTACCCCTACTCTTTGTTTTCTACTAGTCAGCCAATCCTCTATCCATGGCAATACATTACCTGTAATACCGAGCAACTTTATCTTATGTAGCAGCCTTTGGTGTGGCACCTTGTCAAATGCCTTCTGGAAATCCAGATATACCACATCCACAGGTTCCCCATTGTCCACCATGCAAGTAATGTCCTCAAAGAATTCCACCAAATTAGTTAAACATGACCTACCCTTCATGAACCCACGCTGGGTGTTCCCAATGGGACAATTTATATCCAGATGTCTTGTTATTTCTTCCTTAATGATAGATTCAAGCATTTTCCCCACTACCAAAGTTAAGCTAACTGGCCTGGTTACCTGCTTTTTGTCTACTTCCTTTTTTAAACAGTGGCATCACATTGGCTGTTTTCCAATCTGCGGGAACCACGCCAGAGTCCAGTGAATTTTGGTAAATAATCACTAATGCATTTGCTAATTCCCCCATCACCTCTTTTAGTACCGACCACCAGTTCCTACCACCGACATGGTTGACCGTAAGCTCAAAGTTACACACATATTCCTGACCTAGCACAGATTTGCCTGCTGCTGGGTTGATATTCTGAAATTTGTTATCCAGCATCACCGTGAAAGATTACTAACCCCACAGAATAACCAGCAACAGGCCTGCAGCAGATCAATGAGAAAGCTTTCTCAGAGTAATTAAGAGTAGGCAAGAAGTGTGCTTTGACAGCATTATTCACTTTCTGAATTCAGTTGTAAAGGGCCCTGGTTGCCCTCCAAATCCTCATTTATCCCTTTCATAAGATCATTTGATTCACAACATATGGCAGCACAAAGTTGCAATGATAGAAGGCCTGGATCAATAATCCTTTCTTGTCCTGTGTGTAAGCCTAGGGAGCTGTTCAGCTGTGGTTGGAATCACATCCAAGCTTGATCCTGTCATCAGTAGAGATTGACACATGCAGCAGCGTTTGGAACGCAGCAACATCAGAAAAGCAGTGGGCCATTCAGCCCCTCGAGCCAATTCCACCATCTATGAGATCGCAGTTCATCTGTGGCCTAACTCCAAATGCCTGCCTTTGGCCCTTACCCCTTAGCATCTTTGCTTAACAAAAATTTATCTACCTCAAATTTAAAACTAACAACTGATCCAGCATCTACTGCCATTTGTGGAAGAGTTCCAAACCTCTCCCACCCTTCCTAACGTCTCTCCTGAACAATCCGGCCCTACTCCTCAGACTATCTCTCCTAGTTCGGAATCCTCAACCAGTGGAAATATTTTATCTTTATCCACCCTGTCTTCTCCTGTTAATAGCTGTAGACTTCAACCAGAATGCCTCTTAACCCTCTAAATTCTAGAGAAAACAGGCCTTGTTTTTGAAATCCTTGTAACAACACCTGAAGTTCAGACATCATTCTTGTAAACCTACATCATTTCCAAGTCATCTGTCTTAATGTTTACTTAAGTGGCTTGGTGATACATTCCATTTCATAATACTACTCTAAGTGTTTTAAGATGTTTTAAAGTGTTGTATATATGAAAACTCTTGCTTTTTCCAGTTATGAACAAATGACTTGTTATACATTCCTGATAAGAGATTAATTAGTACCATTCAGATTTTGACATGCATTTATACAGTGCTTTTTACATCCAATGGATATATCAAAGTTCTTTACTAGCAACTGCATACTTTAGGATTACATTCACAGCTGTAATGTAGGAAATTTAAAGGTCAAGTAGTAGTATAGCAAGCTCTCATAAACAGTAATGTGATAATGAGATTGAGGCACAATAAATGGGGTTAAGAACACCAAGGAGAACTCCCAAGCTCTGCTCCAAAACAGCATACAGGATAGTTTCGTCCAGCTGAGCAGGTAGATAGGGCCTTGGTTTTACATTTTATCTAGAAGATGGCACATCTTCAGAGAGTTGTGAACCTGTGGAATTCTCTACCACAAACAGCTGTTGGGGCCAGATCGTTAGATCTTTTCAAGTGGGAGTGGGACATAGCCTTTGCGGCTAAAGGGATCAAAGGGTATGAAGTGAAAGGGGGAGTGGGATAATGTAACTGGGTGATTAGGCATGACCATATTGAATGGTGGTGCAGGCTCGAATGGCCTACTCTGACACCTATTTTCTGTGTTTCTATCTTCGCATGCACGCATCAAACCCATGACAAGATTTAGGTTTCGGCTGATAGGTAGGAAGTAACATTCGTGCCACACACCAGGGAATATGAATACATGAAGTGGGTGCAGGCCTTAGCCATTCAGCCCCTCAAACCTGCTCTGTCATTTGACATGATCATAGCTTATCTGATTGCGATCTCAACTCCACATTCCAGTCTATCCCGGATAATCACTGTCTCCTATGTCAGCAACGTTCCCTCTAAGCTGTGCAACATGCAATTCCAAGGATCAGAGCACAGTGATCAGATTGCCGTTCCATTAGCAGCAATGACTTATGCTTCTGGAAGTTGCTGCTGCACATGGATCTGGGAGGACTGCACAGAAAAAACAATGAGCAGGAGCACAGCACATCAGCCAAGAATTTATCGACCTATGCTTTAAATTTCAATGGCTCTATCTCCTCTGTTCTCTTGGGAAGAATTCCAAAGACTCAATAGCTTTTGCAAGTAAGAGCCCTTATTTTTAAACTATCCCTCCTAGTTCTAATCTCGCCCACAAGGCAGAAACATTTCTATCAGCATCTACCCTGTCAAGCTGTCTCAGGCTCTTAAATGCCTCAATAGATCACCTCATTCTTCTAAATGGACTGGGCATATGCCCAGCCTGCCAAACTTTCCTCATGATATCTCTTTCTCATTCACCCCCATCCCCACTACCACACCCAGTTATCACTGAATGAACCTTCTCTGAACTGGTTTCAAAACATTTATATCCCTTCTTAAAATAAGGAGACCAAAGATGTCCACACTGGATTCATTATTGCCCTATACAACTGCAGAAGAACAGCCCTATGTTTATATTCCACTCCCCTTGTAATAAAGATCAACTTTCCATCAGCATTTCTAATCATTTGCTGTACCTGCATTCTAACATTTGTGATTCATGTACCATGACACCTCAGAGTTCTGCAAACTCTTTTTTTTAAGTACTGTTCTGCCTTCCTACCAAAAAGTTGACAAATTCACATTATCCTAGATCATGCCATCTGCCAAATATTTTGCCACTCACTTAACTCATCCACATTCCTCTGCAGATTCCTTATATTCTCTCCACAACTCACTTCTTTGCAAGTCGATCAGGACATGGGTCTAATCAGTTTTTAGTTTTAATACCTATTTAAGAATCCCTTCCCTAATGAAAGTAATTGTTTTAAAATTTCTCCCTCACCTCCAGATTTACAAATAATTCTAGGATAATATTTGTATCCTCGACAGAGAAGACAGGCGAAATATCTACTCCGTTCACCTATCATTGTCTCATTTTCATTTTCCCAGACATGCCCTCAAGACAACCAATGTTCACTTTACCCTTCTGTTTTAAACAGTTGTAGAAACTGTTAGGGCTGAACTTTTTTTTGGCTAAATCCATCTTGTGTTGAGTTTTCTGGTGGGTTTTCCACCGTGAGGCCAAACAAATTGAAGTGCGCCCTGAATCAGGCAGTTTTTTTGACATCTATTTTGTCTGGACAGTTTGGCAAGATAGGAAGTTCAATATTAATGAGCTGGGTTGGGCCATTAACAAGGCATTTAATAAGTAATAATCCCCTAATTAGCAATTTAGGGGAGGTGGTGGCCTAGTGGTATAATCGCTGGACTGTTAATCCTGAGACCCCG